AACATGATTTACATGTGTGGAAGAAACACAGGGATGCCTTTTCCTTTTTCAGGATAGAGCGGAGATAAAACCTTGACTCGTCTCCTCTGAGGGTGAAGACACCAGCATCCAATTTCTACAGTTTATTTTTCTGACCTCTGGGGGAATTTCTTATTGATAAAAGTTGGCTATTCATGAAATGAGTGTTGGCCCTGGGACGCTCCCTTTTAAGACATGAATAATTAGTCGTCACTGCCATCAGTTCTTTGTGAAAGAGAAAGCCTGAACACTGAGATACAAAAATAGTCTCCAATGCCCGTTGACCACTAGTAGAGCGAGGGATTTTATCCCTCAGATGGAGGGGGTTCATCTCAGGAGTCAGGGCATGACCATTGACTCTATAAAACAATGTAGTCTCTGTGACAACACCCAGGGGTTTCTGAAGAGGCTTTTTTGAAACCAAACTATAATTGTTACCATATTGTAAATCCTGACCCAATCTAACTTTATGTTAACCTGGTAATAGGCAAAGAGGTGAATTAGCCCACCTATCAGTCAACTAAACCACGCCTGTTATTAAGCAAATGTGTGCAAGAATGGCTTTTAAAGCCAGCCTCAAGTGGACGCTTGATGAACTGCAGTTTTTTTTGCACTTTACCATTGGCTTCATTTTTCAATACCGGAGGTTTCTGCTTGGGCCTGAAGTAAAAAATAATGTGGAAGTCACAGAGCAATGTTTGCAAAATATTAAAGATGGTGGACAAAGAGTTATGATATGACATGAATAATACTTGTAATTGGACACACTGGCGAGCAGAAAAGCGGATGAAGCAGCTTCAATAAATGCATAACATTGTAGAGGTTTCGCACCATCCCATGATATTAACATCATCCTCTCCTCCCTCTCGCTCGCAGTGATTTTTCCTGAAGAATTAGCTGCTGCGTTTGCACATCAGCTCACCCTGACTTCTCGCAGACTTTAACGAGGAGGCTGGAGGGAAAAATTCCGAATAAAGTTGGGGTGAAAAAAAACCGTCCTTTTGCGCTTACAATTTCAGACATTTTCAACAGTGAAGTGCATGTGTGAAAGGGGCAAAGCGAATAAGACGTCACTGCCATCAGCTCTGGGTGAATAGCAGAGAGAGGAATGCTTCACAGAGAAACTGGGTGGTGAATTAATATCCTTAACACCTAGACATGAAAAGATGTCTCCAAAAGTATTCAACTCCTTCTTTTGCCACAGACACAGCTTTCTTGTGGTAATAATCTGGCTATTATCCAGAGGCCCGGGACTTCTCTCTCTGTGGGAATATAGTATAAATATCCAAAGCTGAAAGAGAATATTAGATTTCACCTTGGTATCAGGAATGTTTAATGCCAGGACAAGAGGGGGGAATGAAAGCTGAACCCCCCCCTCAGCACTTGAGAGAACTTCTTTCTGTTCTGTTTTGAGAAGAATTTGGGAGTTTTCTTGGTGTGTTTCATGACACGGCGTTTGCTTTCCACCTTGCTGGTCTTTGGGAGGTGTAGAATCCATATATGTGCACACACATGCACATAAATGCACACATAAGCAGTAACAGAAAGGAGCTGAGAGAGAGAGAGAGAGAGAGGGGGGGGGAGAGAGGGGTGTGTGGTACTATTCAGGGAGGATAAGATGAGGGGTATTAATGTGAGCTGGCTTCTCTCTTTCTACTGTGTCTGTTTGTGTGCATCTTTGTGTGTGTATGTGTGCATATGTGTGTCAGTTCACATTCCAGGCTGTAGCAGGCTATTCTGGGGGCCTTGCAGCCACCACAGAGACAAACCCCACACATCAGCACAAGCATCGCCCCAGCTGACTCGAAAGTGGGCGAAGAAAAGTGCTTTCGCTAATCACATGGGGGAAGGAAACCTGTTAATGGCTCTGAACACTTACTCACTCATGTTCAGTGTTAAAATCAATCATAATACAATGCAAAGCTACAACTTGAGATCAAAGTAATGGGAGAAAAGTGGCTGCTTTTATGATTACAGGGCGATTATGTGATTTATCATGATCCAAAATAGGTCAAAGAAGGTTTTCAGAGTACTATAAATTCTCCCATTACATCTTTGAGGTGTCAACTTTATGGCTACTGAAGGCGGTGATGTCCATAAGCCTCTAAGTGGGGGATGTGCTGGCATCATTGACCACTTAAGCCGCCCTGAACTGCTCTAAATGATCCATAGTAAAGAACAGAAACACAGCCATGCAGAGGAGAGAGCCAGTGTCATTAAGACACATTAAAAGCTCATTAACGTGCTATTGTTGAGCCGCTGTGCTCCAAAGATGAATCTGTCCTTTACGGAAATATGTCTGGAATGTGCTGTCGTTAAATAATAATTCTTGGCTTTATCGGAAGAAGCTGCTTCACAAAAGACCCCCCTTTTTGTCCCGCGCCTTTGTCACCTATAAGAAACGGAAATAGAGACTTAGAGGGGAAACAAAGAAGATGAGAGAATAACAGCGGGCCGGGATTAAATTTAGTGGGCCGAGCATGGTGGTGAATTGGCTAGAGATGGAAAAAGTATATCCACGATGACACTGTAATCATGTGTGGATATTGCAGGAGGAAATATACAGCTCATACTGAGGAGGATAATTATAGTTCATTACAAGTGGTAATCTTGAAAGTTTTGGTCATCATTTTCATCCAGTATGACAACATCCTATTCACTAAAGTAATGGGAAAGATAAGGCTGACGTCTAAACTATTTATCTGGAGGTAAAACCAGAAAACTTTCAATTAGAAGAGAACAAAGCCATTGGATATCACCTATTGTTCTGTGAACCACATTTATAAGCTACAAGTTTGGATTTTTTAGCTAATGCCATCTTTGTTATTGGATACAGAAGTGACCATGATTGGACAGCAGGGATGTGTTTCACATTGGTACATCTCTCACGGTCCACAAGCTGCCATTGGTAGTGACAAGTGGCAATATTGTAAAACACACCCTTTGTAATCCTGTATTTTACTTTAAGTGGGAGAAGAGCTTGGAAATAAAAATCATGCTGTATTGAAGAAGACCTGAAACATGTATTTTCAGAATGCGATTAATTCAACCCAATCTAAATCAGAAAACCCATAATGAGGAAGTTACTTTTTTTTTTTTTTTTAATATTTATTTTTGGGCTTTTTGTGCCTTTAATGGAGAGATCGGACAGTGGAGTGAAGTTACATTTTTATGCTAATCAAACAATTATTTGTGCAAATACAAGAAGTTCAGTGGGAAGTTTCCATAGGAATGTATGGGGAAACATCTTTAAATGGTATACTATTTCCTTGTCAGGTCTGGTAAACTGTGATAAATGTTGAAGACACTGAAGAATTTGTGTAAAAACCACCCTGGTTTTCTTGCCATGGTTGGCTTTTCTTTTTTTCTCTTTTTTTTGGGGGTGGTGGGTGGGGTGTGTGGGGCTTGTCTCTTTCAGCCTAAATATAACTAACACATACTTGCCAAAACCACAAATGTAGACCCACATAGTAACACACCAGAGTAATCCTTTCAGCAAGATGAAACGTGATTAAGATGCAAACATTTCTAAAAGAGAACCATAAGGAATGTGGCACAAAAAAAAACAAAAAAACATTTGTTGCTTTAGGGTAGCTGAAGAAAATATTCGGTGTTTGGTGTGTCCTCCCTTTGTACTGTCCCCTGTAATGGGTACAATCCTCAAAGATGAACCATTGTGCCTCTTGTCAGCCCTCACACAGGGGGCTATTGTCAACACGAGGTGGGTGCAGGAGAGATACCAAGGGAGAGAGTGGGGCATGGAGGGAGTTAGAAAGACAGAGAAAAAGACAGAAAAATGACATAAAGACAGAATAAACAACAAAGAGTCCAACTAAGGAGTCAGCCAGAACAAGGGAGATAGTGTGGGCAGATTTAAGTAGTCAGAGAGACAGAGGAGGAAGTGAGGAGCTGAATTCCAAAGCAGCACTGTTTCCAGACATGATATTGAATATATTTTGCATAAAGAGGGTCCAGAGAACACACTCGCTGCTGACAGCTGTCTGACTTTATGAAACGCTTGGCTGTGTGTCTCATTACAAGGGGACGGCGGGTTGAGAGCGTGCGCCGGACAAATCCTGCCGAGGAAAATCTAATCTGTTTTATGAATAGCTGATATTACCTTTTGATGTGCTGGCACAATATTTACTATTCAGTATGATGTCTGCTGATGTAAGCAGCAGATAGATTTACACATGAAATTGCTCTTGATGTCATGTCTTAGGGAGGGTGTAGGTGTAAGTCACTACGCATATCATCATAAGAACATAAAAAAGTGCAGCAGAGACCCCCTGCTTAGCCTCATTCAACAAACCCTCTCCTTTAAAAATGGCGTCAGACTCCATTATATATCGCTAAACTTGCCTGTGTCGGTATCTCCTATCCCATTCATGCTTTTGATTCTATGCATTTAAATAGCCCAGTTAGAGCGCTCTAGTAATTGAACTAGCGATGCTCATAGAGCTATGGAGGACGCTTTCTGTTAGCTACTGATTAGCAAGGCTAATTGTCCGTCTGATAAAGTGTAATTGCGAGAGACAGGCCCATGAAATACAACATATGTGACTGCAGAGCCCTTTTGTTTTTCTTCCGAGTCCTCGTCCTTCTTAATGGCACAACAATAAGAGGGGAAGTGAAGAAAAATGGAGGCACTATGTACATCTAAACACCGCGCAGTGCCTGTTGCCAAGGGGAGCTGTTATGGATAGCGTTTCCATGAGCCACGGCTGGAGGAAAGATAGAGGCTGTCGTGTATCTACTATTTTTTTCTGCTCCAGTCGTGCTGTATTGAATGGTGAACAATGCCGGTGATCCTCCTCATCCCTGTGCTTATTGACTAATGCTGTGCCACGGTGTAACTGTTAAAGCTCAGCCTCTGTCTGCATCCTGTTTTTCGATTTAGCAAAAAAGAAATCAACCTAATATTGAACCATTAAATAGTGTGTTTTTTTTCTTCTTTCTTCATGTCTTCTTACATTAGCATCAATTCTAAGAATATCGTGTATCAAACAAGCTCTCATTGAGCTTGCAAATGAGACGAGGACCAGCATGAAAGCCAGTTTTTAGACCAGGTGAACATGGGGAAAACACTGAGATAAAAAATTGGGTTATTAGGGTATCCAACGACATCAATGGACAGTATTTTAGGGAGCTCAGGGGCAGGCAGAAACACAAGCCTGAGTGGTGAATTGAGCTGATTTGGCCATTCATCAGCCAGGGCAACACAATGGGAAATTAAACACAATGCAAATGAGGAAGAGCCAATTCATCAGTGTTTGTCCGCTCTCTGCAGTGGGCCATTGAAGGTGGATAATGGTGAAGCCAGGGTTGATTCGCATGCCCGGGGTTGGCAGCAGCTGAGTGCAGAGAGCTGAATGAAGGATAGAGGGGGCAGGAGGACAATACTGAACAGACGTGTGTTAATAATGGCATTCACCTGTAGATGTAGGAAGGATACTATTTTGTGTAGCTTTTGCTCATATGGTCCATTCTTTGCCTCGCCCTATATGTCTTGTTAGCTGTGCATGCTGCAGAGTTTAGTCCTTTTATCTTCTTGTACTACTCAAAAGTTTGAAAGTGGAGCAAGAGGAAGAGTATCAACCTTTTCTGTTCTTGACAGTATTTTTTTCCACATCAGTGAGGATGAGGCTAGAGGTTGACGGGAAGAGAAAGGCCTCTTCAGGCTGTTGAGATGCTGCAGAAAAGGATTCTAAGTACCAGATATTAACTCCAATCAAAGCCATTGGGACGGCTGACTCATGTCTCAACCTTGACTTGTCCCACTTTAACCCCCCATTGCATTTCAGTTTGAGTGCATGCTCCAATGTTCAAGATCGTTTTCTACTTATTATGTTCGCCATCTTCCTTTTATGAAACATCTCTCGGTCAGTTCCACATCAAATATAAAGCAGTTATAAATGTATTGACAATGCTCATTTACTCAATTTCTCCGCGCTGTTGGCTCAGCTGTCAAAACGTTTGATTTGGAAGAAAAATGTCCACTATGAGAAATATATGTACAAGAAGGACAACCTCTCTTGTTGTAGTTTCTAAACAGAAATTTAAAAAATGCCAAATGTGGACTTTTAGGTTGTTTTGGGGATTGTGTACGTAATACCTTATATATGTATGGACAGTGGTTTTTTTATGTTATTGACAGTTTACTAGCACACCTGCAAACATTCTTCAGTACACGGTATTATTAGTATTTTATTTCTACTTCTTGATTGGATTTGAAACAATAAACTCAAACTCAAACTCATAACTAATATACTATAATGATTGTGTTCTCCAGATGTGTGTATATTTCCTTGTATGAACCTTTATATTTGCTATAAATGACCAAAATCTTGCAACTCCAAGGACTTAACGAACGCTATATCGGAGGGATTGACCTCCAAATAACCAGGGACAATGAAAGCCTAAAAGTTCTCTGATGCCCTTAAGATCAACTCTTCTAATAAAGGTCCCCTCTCTCTGTCTCTTTCTATCTCTTTTCCTCTCTTCAACTTCTGATGTTCTTGGCTTTCTTTCCAATTTCTTATTACCACCAAGCAAGTAGAGCATTTACTGGGGAGATTACGGTTGCTTGGGCTCAGGCTCAATCGATCCCTGAGTCTCAACTCGATACGTGCAGGATGGACCAGCAGTGTTTAGCTACCACCCAGAGTGTCACTGCTCTCTAAACCCTCCCTTAGACACTGGTAAGACAAGTAGTCAGGGTTCATTTTCCAGCTTGAAAACAACTCTTCATACCCCAAACCAAGGGCGGGGGGAGTGGCTGGGATTCAGGGAAAAGGAGACATTGATGGCTGCTGTTTTCATAAATGGTTCACGCATGTATGTACAAGATAAGATCAGACTGCCATCGATCATATGGTAATTCTATCCACCTCTTTAGAGTATCAAAAGCTGTTTGTATTACATTGACTCTAATCCGTGTGCTCTGTCAAACCTTGCACAGCCTCCGTCTTAGTGCTGCCAGCCATGCGAGAGCAAATCACTGCCATTGGGCATTATCTGACAGGGCTGATGCATGGGGATGGGGTGAAATCACAAAGACATGCGTAGGTGTAGCTTTTAGCTCGCTTTGCTTCTGCGGGGGGGGGGGGGGGAGAGAGAGAGCACATGCAACTCTTTGAAAGTCAATGAAAAAAACGCAAAATACATGGAAAGCCTGCTTTTTCTGAAACTTTCTTCGTTCTCTCTATACCGCATTCCCTCGTTAATTTATTAGATCAATCAGCAATGCATGTAATTTGAGCAGAGAAACTGTGCCAAAAGGGAAATTCATTTAAGTCTTTCATATCCAACAACAATAAGATGAAAAAAACGCAAAATATATGGAAAGCCTGCTTTTTCTGAAACTTTCTTCGTTCTCTCTATACCGCATTCCCTCGTTAATTTATTAGATCAATCAGCAATGCATGTAATTTGAGCAGAGAAACTGTGCCAAAAGGGAAATTCATTTAAGTCTTTCATATCCAACAACAATAAGAATGACAAATATATGTAAACCCAGCCACAGAGGCGAACAAATTAATCTCCTGTTTCATGCTTGGATGAAAAACAAGGAAGGAAAGAAAGGATTTAGAGGGAAATGAATGCTATATTAGCATTTGTGATCCTCAAACAGTTGGACTTGGACTTCCCCGTTGACTAGACAGCCGTGGTCCAGTCAAGTGCAAAACCAAAGAAAATGGCACAGGTCAACTCAAATTGATGCTGGACGAAGCCAGGGATTTATGGTGACCTATTCTTTTAGGGAAACAGGTCTTAAAGAAGAGGGGTTGAGTGGGTTGCTGGAATCCCCTCGCTGATTCTGCAGCAACAGCCAGGCATAGAAATAAAGGGGGGGGGGGATGATTGGGTGCTCGGGTGGCTAAGAGCGTCTTTGAAAAAGCATCTGCGTCCCAGTGAGTCGCCACAAAAGACCAGCCCTGCCTGAGTGGCCGTCTTTCTTAAAGGGGGGGGGGATCTTTGCTTTCTTCCCACTGTCTGCATGCTATCTTATCGCTCCCTTACTCCGCTGTTTATTTCGTCCGACTGTTTTTTCTCATTTACCCTCTCCATGCGGATTTTTATGAACACCATTCTCCCCAAAGTCTCCCCTTTGTTCCGTTCCTTTTTCTTTCTCCCTCTCCTCATCCACTCTCCTGGTTTTCAGGGTGTTAATGGCTAACATCAACCACGGTTGTCGAACCATCAAAGAAGCCTTGCTGCTACCACCTAGAAATAAGCCCCTTCGTTGTGTCAATGTTTGTACGCCAACTCAGCGGGTCACAAAATGCTTAGCACTGCAGGGGGTTCTGTGGGCTCATAAAAGTGTGAGAAAGAGAAAGAAAATGAGAGAATGCGGGTGGAAATTAGGATGACATCGTGTGGGAGAATGGGGATGAAAGACAGACTGAAAAAAGGATAATTGCCACCTTGAGCATACATCTATTTATGCATGGTTCGTGCAAATTTTACAACATGTCATCAATGGCGAGAGGCAAAATCTAACCCTGCAGTTAGCATTCTTTAATTTCTGTTTAGTATTTCAGATGATTTGATTCTTTCTGTTTTGACCTTGCTACCATGGAAAGAAGTGGAAGTGGTTTTACCGACACGGTAGACCTTTATTAAAGCAGCTGCACGAGGGGTTCAAATCTTTGCCATTGTGGGAATGTACAGCTGCAGAGTTTGTCATTTATAGGTTCAAATTGGATTCAAGCACAAGGGCATTTACACCGACAACCAACGCGATGTCGACCAAACCCATAGTTGGTTGGGAAGTATTTTTGACGATCATTTTACTACAACAGGTTTTAAGTTGTGGAAAGACACTGGCAGCTACAGCACATTGGTTTTCTGGGCCAGTGGGAGCACAGATTCATCTGGAAAATTTAGTGAGTCACACCGAGGGAGAGTCAGAGAACAGAGCGGGAGAGAATTAGCACTCACCTGGATCAGTGTCAGGTCCTCCAGATTGAGCCTGAAGAGGTGATTCCTGTATAAAAAAAAAAAAAGAAGCGAAGAATAAGGAAAGTGTGTGTGAGCTGATGGGGGCATTTGCTAAAATAATAACCCTGAAAAAGGACGTGAGGATCTACAGCATCTTTGTTCAGAAGGACAACGCTCTGTGCAGTTTGTATCTGTGTTCTCTCTCCCTCTAGTTCTTTCATCTTCACTTCACTACCCATCGTGCCAACCGTACAAAGAGATTTCTAACTCCAAAAAGGGAGCAACTGCTGGAATAGGTTAGGAGTATGTTTCAGAGGATGTTCTCAAAACCAACAAATATTCCACTGTGTCAGTAATGTTAGAAATGTACTGCTGTGACACAACCAAACTCAGTTTATTCAAATTATGTAAACTGATGAGGCAGAATCAGAGATACCATCTTGATCTTCCTTGAAAATAAACCTGCTGCCAACATTATCACAATGCAACTCCAACATTTCAGTCAAAGTATTGCTGTGTCCTGCAGACGCTAATTTAGCTTCCAAAAAGCTAACCTCAAACAAAGTTTAGGACAGACTGAACCTGAGCCCACTCATTAGGCATCATTAGGGGCAGTTTATCAGATTTTGTGCAGCTCTCCTGGATTACAAAATAATATTTTGTACTCCATGAAAAAGGCCCGAAAATAAACTTTTAAAAATGCAGTTCAAATCAAAACAATAATGTTTCTTAAACTTTTAATGTTAAACCCACATAGAGATTAAAGGAGCCTTGCCACTGACAGCACAAGATGTTGTTAGTTTATTCGAGGCACCTAATGTATACAGACTAAAATCTAGTGATTGGATTCATTGCAAAAATGAATGAACCTCTAGTTTTATTCATGTCAATATGAAGAGGAAAAAAAGAGACGAATGTTTAAAGGTTTTACAGTGTGCTCCTTTCACTCGGCCTTTGTGTGAATTGGTCAAATGGAGTAAAGAAAATAGAAAAATCAAAGCTTTGTAGCAATAACTTACTCTTATAAACGTCTATACAGGTAGCCTAGTGGTAAGTGTGCGAGCCCCATGTACGGTTCAAATCCACCTGGGAATCCTTTCTCGAATGTCGTTCCCCACTCTCTCGCTCCTCTATTTCTGACTCTTTCAACTGTCCTGTCGCTAAATAAAGGCATAAAAATGCCCAAAGATAAATATTTTTTCCCTAAGCAACATTAGGTTGCTACGGCTACCCTCTCAAGAACATTTTGAATATTGACTTATAATGTTTCAGGCTGTCTCCTAAACCAATAACTTCACTTCCGTTTTAACTAGACTCTGTAGGTTTGTTTCATAAGCCGATCCCGATCCAAGCACACTGTCTGTCCATGCCACTAGAAAGAGAAAATGATCTTCAACATTTAGAAAGTTAAGTGCAATCTCACAGCAAGAAAACAAAAACCTTGAGTGAGAGAGAGTTACCTGAAAGATTCCTACTGCACAGCTTAAAAACTATTACGCAGTCAGAGATTGTGCATTAGCTCTAACAATAACCCATAATGTGTTTTTCTTTCACAACAGCAATCATTTTAAAGAGCATGTATTGTTTTTTCATAAAGTAGACGAGTAATTTTCAGAGTGAAAATCTTCCAAGCATCTTAACACACACACACATGCGCGCGCACACATACACTTGCAGAGATCTATCAGTCTCCTGAAGAGTGGCAATCAGCCAGGTCTCGGTGCGGCCTCAGCCCTCTGTTTTACTGTATTGATATTTGCATCGATCCCCCTTTCCTTCCATTATCACTCATACTTCTAACGCAGCCCGCAGCCATCCATTCAGCCACATCGCCTTTCACAGTTAGGCATTCGACAGCCTGACAGAGAACTAAATCTCTTATTTGATTTTTTGGAGAGCTCCAAATACCATGTGTTGATGGGATTTGCAGCGTTGTAGTTTGAAATGAAAGACTGTCCGATTTTTCTTTCTGTTAATGTCTTTAATATCTTATATTCAATTTGGCCATCTTTCCATCAGTTTCAGTGTAAATTTGCTCACCTCATCACCCCTCCTCATATACACTCTTTCTCTGGTTAGCCTTTTCCATCTTAGTTCCCGCGGTGCATTAGATAATTCCCTGGGCTCTCTTTGTTTCTGTTTGTTTTGCTGCTCTCCTTCCTGCTGGCTCCTCTGTTATCTCCTGTTCAACGTTTTAGTGGGTGTTTCAGTCTATTGACATCTAAGCCATTAAGTGAAGAGCAGAGCACACTTCATCTGCTTTCAGCCAGAGACTCACACCACTGGAATAAATATATATATATATATACACACACACACACACACCCAATTCTTCTGCACACACATTTAAGAACATGTTTTATCACATGTAGTGGTTAGAAATTGCAAAAACAGCCTTTGTATTGTTTATCACATAATGTGTGTGTGTGTATGTGTATGTGTGTGTTTCTTTGCAGAGAGAAACTGCAAACACACACGCACACATTCAGGCAAACTTGGCTGTGCTTGACAAAGACAATGGACTTGGAAACAATTAAAGCCATTTTTCTCTGGCGTTCTAAGACATCTTTAGACAAACAGATCATTACTCATGCTTTGCTCTAAAAAACCTTGAAAAATGAGAAATGAAGGACGAGAAACAGGCAACAAAAGAAAGAGACAGGAGGCAGGGAGAAAAAGTGAGGCAGAGAGCGAGAGAGCGAGAGAGAGAGAGAGAGAGAGAAAAACAAATTCAGGTTACCTGGCACCCACGATCAGTTCGTTCTGGCCGGGGTCAAAGGTCAGCTGTGAGTAATCCACCGTGCCCTCGGCCTTGAACCTGAAGATCCACGGCTCCATCTCTGAAAAAGACACCACAGGAAATAACTACAGTGAGCCAATCAGAGAGGAGAATTGATGGCTGCAGAAGACAGCTGTGTTGACGAATGTGCTGCATTCAAAGGGCTGCTGTAACTTCTGAACGACACGGGTTAGGACTTCATCAGATTCATTTCTTCACACATTCCGTTCATAACTGTGACGTCAACATTAATGGCATTATTTTGCAAAACAGTGAGTCAAAATCGCTCTAAGGTTTGAAGCCAGAAAAACACATTTTAACTGAACGTTGTCAACACAAGGCAGAAGACGTTTTTCAGACTATAATTGAGATATTGGTGTATTGTTTCAGGGAAGAACTGTTACATACTTGCAGGTGTTTTGACACCAGAGGTATTGGGTTGATAAAAAAATAATGAGCTTTCAACACACTAAAGCGAACATCTAGTTTAGATCCAAAAGAGTTTAAGTTAACCTCTGACACTTACCGCAATCTTATAACGATACTTATACCACAGGATTGATTTTTTTTTTGCAGGCTATAGTACCTCATCATATTCTTGCTCCCCTTTGGTGACATCATCTGTCATGACAGCCCCCGTTTCCACTGTTACACCAACAATGTCCAGCTTTACATCTTCACAAATTCCATCACCACAGCAACCCACTCCCACTGCCTCACTGAATCCAAAACCTGGGTGTTCGTACGAATTTCCTCACACTGCACAATAACAAATCTGACATGATAATCATCGGCCCCAAATCCTTCACCAAATCCACTCATGACTCCAGCAACTTTTCCTTTGACAAAAACGTCACCTGGCTCACTAAAACTGGCCTTCTTCCATTTTAAAAACATACCACGCCTCCGCCCATTACTCCCATTCTCTTCTGCTGAAACACTTCATCCATGCCTTAATCACAGTCAGACTGCAATAGCATTCTTTACAGCACATCATCCAAAGTACATCCAGAAATCTGTTGCCCTCCTGCTCACCAACACCTGCTCCTTTGACCACATAACCACTGTCCTTCAAAATCTCTACTGGCCTCCTGTCCATAACTGTATCCAGTAGAGCTGGGGGGGTGTAATGTAAATTGATATGAATTTAGTAATTTAAGATATTTTTCCAGTTTTTTAAAATCCCAAACATTTAATTTCATTCTGTAAAAGCTGTAGTTATAAATGCCTCGGGGGTTATTGGCCATTGTTGACTATTGAAAAAGTGGAATTTATTTAAAATCATACTTACTTTGCATAATTTTCAAGTCATTTCACCCCTGACAGAAATCAAATAAATGCCCTCTTAATGACAGAAATGAAGAGTAGATGTTTGGAGCTGTCCTTGGCTGATGAAGTCATTCATGTAAAGATAAATGTGCACGACGTACTGTATCAAAGCACTTTTTTACTTTAGTGCTTCTTAGCACCTTAGAGACCGAAGACATTCAGTTTCAAGTAGAGTCCTCTGATTTCTTCAAACCATTCACTTCTGGTGATTGACCACTTCCATGTTAATGTATACCCTGACTGGACCATAAAGAGCGATGATATTTGACTTTTTATGGAACTTGACCTTGTTCAGCGGTGAATAAAGAGATTTAAGCGAGGGCTATTCCAGACAGACACTGACATCTTATCCTTAACATGCCTGTTCTTATGGCGCCCGACCCATTAACCTCTGACCAATCGAATCCCATGCCCCTGGGTGGTTGCTGAGCGATGAGGACAGTGTGTCTAGCGTCTGGTTACCCGATAGGTTTAGTCGAGGGTGGTCAATCTGTCATCATTTCTGTGTTTTCTCTCCAGTCATAATAATCTTTACTGTACAGAAAGGTCAGATTACATATGATGTGATAGATTTTCTTTCTAAATAGCTGAAAATGAGTCTCTTATAGTAAAGTGTAAGGCTGAGTTTGCAGCAGTGGATGCTACAGTGATTCAGAAACCTTTATCCCAAAGGTTTTTAGCGAATTCCAGATTACATTTATTTTTTTAAAGCAGCTTCTTTAATTTACCAAGGGAGCTTTCCATCAGGGCCGGAACAGAGGGAGAGGACAGCTCGAATATCCTCCTTAAAAACACATTATCTGCTTCTTTAGGCGCACCTGTCAGCCACTGTTTTAAAAAGAAATGAAAGCAAGCTCTCCCTTCACTGCATCAAAAGCGAGCACTTTGAGATTCTGGGGCAAACGTCGGATTTTTGATGGTTTCCAAACAAGGACAAACAAGAGAAAAAAAAAACGGGAGCTTCCAAGGAACATCTGCCTCCGCCAGCTCACGCAATGGGATCAAACTCTGTCTCTCCTAACAAAACAATATCATCTGCAACGAGACAGAGCCACCGTATGCAAAGATGTTTTCACTAGTTTCGCTTTCAAGTCTCCGGTGACGACTACAACAGCACCGCAAGACGGGGAAAAAAAAGGCATCACGCGTCTGGTTTCACAGCACAAATACATTTTCATTAGCCGCGGTGAAAATAAATCTAGTGGAGATCACGGCCAACTTCACCCGAAAGAATTCATTTTGCTTAATGGCTGCTGCTCTGCCTACACTGGAGGGAGACACAAAGTTTCGGATGTGTCAATCCTCTGGCTCCACTGGGCTTGTTTTTCACGGCATCAAGAGGATCCCCTGCATACCAATGTAGCTGTGACACCCCCTGGGGGAAGACAGCGCTTGACGAACCCCGGCTTCTCCCCATAAATCTCCCTGACTCACCAAGGGAGGCTCGCTAACGGGGTGATGGAGAGTGTGTGAGTGCGTGTGTGCCTGGATGTGTGTGTGTGTGTGTGTGTGTGTGTGTGTGTGTGTGTGTGTGTGTGTGTGTAAGGCAAAAAAGAAAGGATATTTGTTCGAGTGTGCAAAAAGGGGGCAAAAGGTTTTAATTGAACACAACAGCACTCATAGGATTTATGGCCATTTGTGACAAGGCCAAGGCCCATTCATAAACATTCATAACCAGTGTGGATTGGCCCTCCCAAGGCTCTGGAGCTCAATAAAAGGAGAGCCACAAAGTCAAACTCATGGGGGTTTAAAAGATCATAGTCAGGGAAGCAAAGCTGTGGCACACTTGGAGATAGAGATACAAAAGAACAACACTGCAGGATAGCGGGGTTAACTTCACTTTGGAGACTAATCACTCTGATCTGAACTCTGATCTGGGTTGCGATATTTATTTGTTTTTACGGATGGGCTGTAATAGCTAATTTTAATGGCACCGAGGGAGATTTTTATAACCCCATAAAATAAACCTTATCGTTAAGCCGGCAGAAAAGGAAACAGCTAATAAACAGATCCTTTTCCCCCCATCCTGCCTTCTTGATTTCAGGGCTGCTTTGCATGTAACATGGGCTCATAATGGCTTCACTTTAAATGCATGTGATAATGTAATCACATCACCACTGCTTTTGTACAGCAGCTGCATGAATCAGGGGATTGGCGGCCGATGAAAGGAAGGCGTAATCACACAGGCAGAAACACGCGCGGAGACTCGCCACACACACAGATCGGGGTGAAAATTCAGAAAGCAGCCAGGGCTGCATGCCAACATGTAAAACACACGCTTACACACCCCTCCCCCTTAACACTGGTCCCATCTTTATCCTCTTAACCCCTGCTTTCCTTCTCCTCAAAATAGAACAGGCCCCTTCACTCAAACCCCATTTTGTTATTCCTCACTCTGACACGGAGTGGTTGACACAAAGACAAAATGACAGGATGTATAAATATTTACACCCCGCATGAGAGGCCACGCCAATCTTCGGCCTGCCAGCGTTCAAAATTTCAAGCGCTCCACGGCACTGCCAGACCGGCAACGACGGCAACATGTGGAAGCCATTCAGAAACATGAATGGTTTTTCTGTGCAAATCGAGTGTGGCAGCAGGCGCTCACATAAATGAAGAGCCAATTCGCTTTAAATGGGGCCCTGTGGTACTGGGCAGCAGAAGAATGGCAACTATTTGGTCAAGTTGGTGTGTGAGGAAACCATTTGGCTGAGCGGTGGAAAAAAAACAAACACCTGCTCAGTTTGAAAAGACAAGGTCAGTTAAGACATTTCATTTGTGGTTTTTTTTTGTGCTTGAAGGTTTTCTTCCGATCATGTTATTCTGAGCAAGAAAAACAAGAATTGTTCAATAAAAATCCTACAACTCAAATGTTGGGTTCTGTTCTGTGTCCTCGGGGCAGCAAGTGAATCATGCAAAACAAACCACTGTGAAGCCTCAAAGAAGAGAGCAATAAATTATTTAAATCTAATATGTATTTAGGAGCACAGCCGCTTGGTTCCAGGGATGCAGAAGAAGAGCCAACTCTTTTACAAGATGACCAAATCTCTTCAGAGCACTTGACTATGGAGAGACGTGTAGGGAAATATGTGGGACTTTTATAGCGGAGGGTGAAATGAACGACATACAACTCCTAAAATGTGCAGGGGCCTTCTTCATGACATCTGCAGTGAGTGATCCATTCAAATTAAACAAGACAAGAACATAGCTGACCTTTGGGCATGAATAGAGTGGAGTTAATGTTTTTGAATTGACGCTCTGACGACCTCAGAGGGGGCTTAAATCAACAAGAATCACTCCCAATGGACCAATTAAAAGATCTCTGATTCGCTGCCATTGAGCCCGTTGCATTTATAAATGCTATTTGGCTATTTGTTTGTTTCTCTGCTTTAACTCGCCCCTCTCTCTCTCTAACGATGTGTAAGCCGTTCAGGGATGATAAAAGCTGTGCTCAGTCTGTGGCTGTAAAACCAGTCTGCCGGTTCCACTCCTCAGAGACGTGGCCCTCAGCTTGGCCTGTGAAGGCATTGTTTACACCACAGTTTATAACCTTTAAAAGCCTTCAAGCCTACACCCAGGAACACTTGTTAAATACAACACTTTATTAATGCAGTTCATCTCAAGGGGCTTTGAGCTACAATAACATTACAAAAGCTTGGCGGAAAACATTTATTTGCCAAAACATATCCTTTGCAAGCACCAGGAAGAAGTCTTTCAACGCCCCTCCTTAGA